TGGGTGATGATTCTACTCACTGTTGTGTGTTTCTGGATGAGGTTCTAAATTCACAGAATTTATTGTCCACCTGGTAAGATGGTTAAACTGAGTGAGATTACATTCTTTTACATAACTTTTTAGAGTGAACAGAAATGTTTTACTGTACATTTTTTATTGTTTTTAGGACATATAGATATAAAAACATCACACGCATGACATTACATTACATCATTTTCCCATTAAAGTCCATCTCAAATGTTGTGAAGATAGCCTAAAGTGTGACTTCCCGACACGGGGGGACAGAATATTTCAGGGGAACACAATTTCTCACAACAGCTAACCATCCGGCTGACGTCACCCCTCCTCCATGTGTGAATCGTGACAGCTGCAAGATCTGACAAAACCAGCTTGCTTCCTTCAGGACTGGTAGGTTGATAAAACAGTCATAATTATAAATGCATTTTAACTGGTAGAGTAGTTATATGCTTTGTGTGGGGTAGACTAGAGAGAATGGAAACTAATCAGTGGGCCACCGTAGCTGCAATACTCTCTCTGAATTGCATGGCGCTAAAGAGTAGGGATGGGCACCTGTGACATTCAAATCGATACGGTACCAGTTCCTGGTACCTACGAATCGATCCCGCTACTTAACGGTACCAATTTTTGATACTTTTGCATGTCTATTAACTATTTAAATCTCTTTTATAATTAATTATATATTATTTTCGCACTATATAACCATATTTGATAAATATGATAAATGACATACAGCGTAGTGTTGTGTAAAATGTTTCAACATGAAAACCTTTAACGACAGTTTCTAAATGAATCAAAACCAAACCCAGCTCCACATACTCCTAATCCTCTTCTAATCCCTCTGGAATAACTCAGATGAGGAGACCATGTGTTATAAACTACAGATGAAACTAAAGCAAACTTCGATACTGTACAATAGTTTGTATTTTAATATTGTGGTGTTTCATTGACTAAACCAGCTCCATGTACTCCTGTTCCTCTCCTTTCTCCTCTGGACAAACTGTGTGATAGTGGGTCCTTGTAGTTTTATAAACTGTGTGATGGTGGGTCCTTGTAGTTTTATAAACTGTGTGATGGTGGGTCCTTGTAGTTTTATAAACAGTGTGATGGTGGGTCCTTGTAGTTTAACAAACTGTGTGATGGTGGGTCCTTGTAGTTTTATAAATTGTGTGATGGTGGGTCCTTGTAGTTTTATAAACTGTGTGATGGTGGGTCCTTGTAGTTTTACAAACTGTGTGATGGTGGGTCCTTGTAGTTTTACAAACTGTGTGATGGTTGGTCCTTGTAGTTTTATAAACTGTGTGATGTTGGGTCCTTGTAGTTTTATAAACTGTGATGGTGGGTCCTTGTAGTTTTATAAATTGTGTGATGGTGGGTCCTTGTAGTTTTATAAACTGTGTGATGGTGGGTCCTTGTAGTTTTATAAACTGTGTGATGGTGGGTCCTTGTAGTTTTACGAACTGTGTGATGGTTGGTCCTTGTAGTTTTATATACTGTGAGATGGTTGGTCCTTGTAGTTTTATAAACTGTGAGATGGTGGGTCCTTGTAGTTTTATAAACTGTGTGATGGTGGGTTCTTGTAGTTTTATAAACTGTGTGATGGTGGGTCCTTGTAGTTTTATAAACTGTGTGATGGTGGGTCTTTGTAGTTTTATAAACAGTGTGATGGTGGGTCTTTGTAGTTTTATAAACTGTGTGATGGTGGGTCCTTGTAGTTTTACAAACAGTGTGATGGTGGTCCTTGTAGTTTTATAACCTGTGTGATGGTGTGTCCTTGTAGTTTTACAAACAGTGTGATGGTGGTCCTTGTAGTTTTATAAACTGTGTGATGGTGGTCCTTGTAGTTTTATAAACTGTGTGATGGTGGGTCCTTGTAGTTTTATAAACTGTGTGATGGTGGGTCCTTGTAGTTTTATAAACTGTGTGATGGTGGTCCTTATAGTTTTACAAACAGTGTGATGGTGGTCCTTGTAGTTTTATAAACTGTGTGATGGTGGGTCCTTGTAGTTTTACAAACTGTGTGATGGTTGGTCCTTGTAGTTTTACAAACTGTGTGATGGTTGGTCCTTGTAGTTTTACAAACAGTGTGATGGTGGTCCTTGTAGTTTTATAAACTGTGTGATGGTGGGTCCTTGTAGTTTTACAAACAGTGTGATGGTGGTCCTTGTAGTTTTATAAACTGTGTGATGGTGGGTCCTTGTAGTTTTATAAACTGTGTGATGGTGGGTTCTTGTAGTTTTATAAACTGTGTGATGGTGGGTCCTTGTAGTTTTATAAACTGTGTGATGGTGGTCCTTATAGTTTTACAAACAGTGTGATGGTGGTCCTTGTAGTTTTATAAACTGTGTGATGGTGGGTCCTTGTAGTTTTACAAACTGTGTGATGGTTGGTCCTTGTAGCTTTACAAACAGTGTGATGGTGGTCCTTGTAGTTTTACAAACTGTGTGATGGTTGGTCCTTGTAGTTTTACAAACTGTGTGATGGTGGGTCCTTGTAGTTTTATAAACTTTGTGATGGTGAGTTCTTGTAGTTTTATAAACTGTGTGATGGTGGGTTCTTGTATTTTTATAAACTGTGTGATGGTGGTCCTTGTAGTTTTATAAACAGTGTGATGGTGATCCTTGTAGTTTTACAAACAGTGTGATGGTGGTCCTTGTAGTTTTATAAACTGTGTGATGGTGGGTCCTTGTAGTTTTACAAACTGTGTGATGGTTGGTCCTTGTAGTTTTACAAACAGTGTGATGGTGGTCCTTGTAGTTTTATAAACTGTGTGATGGTGGGTCCTTGTAGTTGTATAAACTGTGTGATGGTGGGTCTTTGTAGTTTTATAAACTGTGTGATGGTGGGTTCTTGTAGTTTTATAAACTGTGTGATGGTGGGTCCTTGTAGTTGTATAAACTGTGTGATGGTGGGTCCTTGTAGTTTTATAAACTGTGTGATGGTGGGTCCTTGTAGTTTTACAAACTGTATGATGGTGGGTCCTTGTAGTTTTATAAACTGTGTGATGGTGGGTCCTTGTAGTTTTACAAACTGTATGATGGTGGGTCCTTGTAGTTTTATAAACTGTGTGATGGTGGGTCCTTGTAGTTTTACAAACAGTGTGATGGTTGGTCCTTGTAGTTTTACAAACTGTGTGATGGTTGGTCCTTGTAGTTTTATAAACTGTGTGATGGTGGGTCCTTGTAGTTGTATAAACTGTGTGATGGTGGGTCCTTATAGTTTTATAAACTGTGTGATGGTGGGTCCTTGTAGTTTTACAAACTGTATGATGGTGGATCCTTGTAGTTTTATAAACTGTGTGATGGTGGGTCCTTGTAGTTTTACAAACTGTATGATGGTGGGTCCTTGTAGTTTTATAAACTGTGATGGTGGTCCTTGTAGTTTTATAAACTGTGTGATGGTGGGTCCTTGTAGTTTTACAAACAGTGTGATGGTTGGTCCTTGTAGTTTTACAAACTGTGTGATGGTTGGTCCTTGTAGTTTTATAAACTGTATTAAAACCACATTTAGTAAAGTGAAGCCAAACTTCAGAGCGCGTTTGCTTTATTCTAGTCGGCATTTTGGCGTTCCGAGGAGAAAGTGAACGTACCATTAGCTGAACAGAAGCTAACATATCAAGCTAACGTTATCTTAAACATTTTATTTACCTACCGGAGCAGATTAAGATGATGATGATGGCTCACTTAGAGGCTGGTTTCATCATCACCCAGTTACCCATCCCACTTAGTGAAGTGGACCCCAACTTCAGAATGCTTCCTGTCTGTCATGCTGCTTTGTTTACAGCTCGCCCACAGTGACTGACGACGTTACGCTCTTGCGCCGGTGCGGCACGGGAACCTAAACAAGGCACCGATTCATATGACGTGAATCGATACTCTGTCGGTACTGTGGATTTCGGTCGGTGCCTTAAAAAGTACCGAATTCAGTACCAATCGCTACTAAAGAGTCACATTTTTTAATCATGAATTCAATGAATTTCATGCATGGGGCCTTTAAGCAGACATCTGCTTATTTCTACCAGAGTTGAGCTGTGGGAGAAAATATTCAGGCTTATTTAAGAGAGAGAGAGAGAGTGTGTGTGTGTGTGTGTGTGTGTGTGTGTGTGTGTGTGTGTGTGTGTGTGTGTGTGTGTGTGTGTGTGTGTGTGTGTGTGTGTAGGTGTTGGGGAGGGGTGGTGGTGAAGAAGCGGATGGTCACCTGCCTAATCACTGACATGCTCCTCTTTAAACAACTATATAAATCACAGATAATCAAACAGATAAGTACACAGCTGTTATCCACAGCACACCAGGCTAAAGGTCAAAGGTGACAGATCATCTGCTGCTGTGGCCCCCAGACTCTGGACCTCTCCCCCTGAGCCTGAGATCAGTGGACTCAGTGGTCTCCTTTAAACTCACCTGTTCAGGCTTTGGTGGGACCTCCTCTTCACCACCACTTCATGCTGCTCTTTCTGCCAATCCTGTCTTCCTCGGGATCTCGTGTTACCTTTTCTTTTTCATATCTGTCTTCCTTTACATTGTTTAAAATGTTTAAATTTTCTGCTTTCTTACTACAATACTGTTATAACCTTTAATTTGTTTTTTAATCGTTTTGATGATCTAACATTGTTCTTGTGAAGCACCTTGTGATTTTTATCTTGAGAGGCGCTACATAAAAACATGATTTGGTCCTCTCCTTCAAGTGCCAGGACAGTACAGGTTTAAAGAAGAAGGAGAAAGGGATGTACTGTGTGACATCACATGCCTCGTCCAGTCATATTCACCAAGCTTACACGAGCCTCAGCCAGCCTGCCATGGAGCTGGCTTGGCCTGAAGTAAATGTCACCATAGTGATTGAGTTGCAGGTTAGCCTCGCTCTTGGATCCACGTTTTTGGACACCTGGGTGGGGAGTTGTGAGGGGAAACCTGGTTTATGGGTTTAGCTCACTTCGGAGAACAGCCCTCTGGTCTCCCCAGACTGAAGTGTTGTGTTTTTCTCTGCAGAGCACATATGACCGGTGTCCGTTTGAACTGGTGCGCTGCATTAAACACATCCTGCAGTCAGAGCAGAGGCTGGTTAAAGAAGCTACAAACGTACGTTCACACTCTTCACTCTAAACTGAAAAGATCAGTTTCTAATGGCGTTTTTCTGTTTGCAGTCAAACAGTGGGGGTGGGGCACAGCCAATGGACACTCTGTCCCATCGCCATCAGCAGATCAACCAAGCCTTCGAGGAGCTCCGCCTTGCAACGCAGGAAGCTGAGAATGAACTAAAGAAGCTGCAGCACAGCCAAGAGTATTTCATCATCCAGTACCAGGAGAACCTGCGCATCCAGGGTGAGCTATTATCCAGCTATGAGGTTTTAGTTGGTTGACTCACGTGAGGAAAAATCTAAGTATTATTCCTCTCGGTAGTTGCTTTTTGTAACATCCCACCCTTCTGTGCCGCATGCATGGTCAGCCCAGCTTAGCAGCTTGTCTTCGCTACCACCAGAGGAGCGAGCCCAGCGGGAGCCTGCCCTTGTGAGCAAACGAGCCACTGTGGAGGCCTGGCTCACCAGGGAAGCCAGCACGCTACAGAAATACAGGCTGGTATGCACACACGAGTAACCCTACCTGTTGTTTTTATGAGTAGGTTGAGAAACGCACATTCATATGAACCCTAAGCACATCATCCAGCCTAATGACAGACAAGTGATGTTGCGCACTGATATGATGAATTCACAAGTTAAAGTGGACTTCTTCCTGATGCTCCTGCTGAACCTTTCAGGGATTTTCCACCCATGAAATGTAGTCGGTTGCTCCAGAGATGGATAAGTTCAATTCAATTCAAGTTTATTTATGTAGCGCCAAATCACGACAAGAGTCGTCTCAAGGCACTTCACATAATAAACATTCCAATTCAGGTCATCCCAAGGCCGGATTATAATTTGGGCGAATTGGGCACAGGCCCAGGTGCCCACAGCCACAAGGGGGCCCACGCGAGCAGCAGTCTTTTTTTTTTTTTTTTTTGTGCAGCAGTCTTAACCACCCCCGCCGGGCCCCAGCAGAGCCCAGGGACCCAGACCCCACCAGACAGCCACCGGGATCGACCAGGCAGGTGCCAAAAATCTTAACCCCCCTGACCCGGGAGCCACGAACACTCAGGCAGACCAAGGCACCACACTCCACACCAGCTGTGGCAGGCGGAGGGGAGACGAAGATCTATGTCATCAAAAGAAGTCCCAGGAGAGGGGAGGAGTCAAAGGCCCCACCTGACATATACAGTCATACACAAACACAGTCACACACTCCCTCCCTCATGCTCACACATGCACATACAACCCAAGACTTACAAAAATGCACGCCGGACACCCACTCATGCTCCCCATACACACCCTATTCACTCTGGTCCCGGTACTGCTGCACATGGGGTACAACCATCACCGCTTACCAGAGTTTGACCCTTTCTGACAAGTTCTAATATTGACCGACGAAAACCAAAACAGTCGGCCATGGCGTCTCATCTGCTTGTTTTCTAAACTCACACAAATCTGTCTGTAACAAAACCGTCTGAAAGCCACTATTTGTGGATTCTCTGAAAGTTTCCATGGAGTGTGTGACAACTTATTTTTTCATTGATCCTATCGTCTAATCTCACAGCTGAAACAAGCATCCTTAATAATCTGTGCACAGGAAGCTTACCGATGCTGTAGTAAAACAAAAGGTATAATAATTTATTATTAATAAAACCTTATTGCAGCACTAAAGCAGAAAAGTGAGATTTTGCAATGATTATGCTAAATATTTACACATGAATTGTTTTAGAGCCCTTTTATTGGCAGAATCTGATATTAATTTAGTTTTTCACCTGGGGGAAGAAATGGTCCTAACGTGGTCTGTGTGGTGTTGCTGTAGTGTGACGTGATAGGCTCAGATCTCCTGTCCTCTTTTTAGGAAATGGAATTATGGTCACCCTAACCACTGGTCGTATATTTATATTGATATAAAGGTGAAGTTGTCTTGTTTAAAAATATATAGATACTTAGACAATAAGAATAATCTATTGCCCTGTGCTGCAACAATACAGTTTCCCTCGGTGAGAATCTGTGACTGATAGTCATGAAAATAAGGAAAAACTTGAGATGAGAAGAAGAGTACGGCGCATTGACTGGCTGTGTTAAGCGCTGGGTGTACATGCTGGTTTAAACCAGCAAACTGACTGTGAGGTGATTTAAGTGTCTCGTGTTTGGATGTGAGGGTGAAAAAGGTCATTTTGCACACACACACATATCTGTTTTCAGGACCTGTCGGAACAGCACCAGAAGACTCTGGGTCTGCTGAGGAAGCAGCAGACTCTTATACTGGACGAAGAGCTCATTCAGTGGAAGAGAAGGCAGCAGCTGGCAGGCAATGGAGGTCCACATGAGGGGGGGCTGGATGTCCTCCAGTCCTGGTAGAATCTGTTTTTACATTCTGTCTGATTACAGAGCCTCAGAAGCTTTGTTTCTTTCCTGTCAACTTCTGCTCATTCTCTGTTATTTGTCCACATTTAATGATTAAAAGTGTTTGTTCCTAAAACATTAAAACTTCTGAAGTGATAAATCGGATGTTTGTATTCTAAGCACCCCATGAATGATCAGTAGCTTGGTGGAGGATAGTGTGCTGTTTCCATGTGCCTCTCTCTCTCGTTGAGGTGTGAGAAGCTGGCAGACCTCATTTGGCAGAACCGGCAGCAAATTCGACGCTGTGAACATTTGACCCAACAGCTTCCACTGCCCGGCCCGATGGAGGAGCTGCTGAACAAACTCAATGCTGACATCACTGACATCATCTCAGCCTTGGTCACCAGGTGGGAAACACACACACCTGTTACCTGTTCACCAGCGTATGCGGCCTAACCAATCATGCTCTTTGAGCTGTGCATGCCAACTGTCAGTCGCATATCTGTTGGTTTACATCTAGTTTCAGTTTCATTTGCTTCTCTGAGTCCTGTCTGGCTGGAAGGCAAGTGCCAATAACAAACCTCACAGCTTTACTCTCATAGGTGGAGCCACACCTGCAAACATGCGACCTTCAGGTGACACCTCAATTCTTTAGAAACTGAATATGGCGTCCACGTGAATCGTATCGATCTGACGTGTGTGTGTGTGTGTGTGTGGGGGGGGGGGGGGATTCATCTCGTTCACAAACTCTTGGTTGTAGCGTGTCAGTCACGCGTCGTCATTTGACCAATCCCAGACGTGGAGACACCTATGCCAAAAGCTGCTCACTGTGAAAGCGTGGCACTAACAGTGAGTGTGACTACTGGTTGCTTTGGAGTTAGCTTAAGCACACAGTATTGAACCCCTTTAAAAGCTAATATTGGTGCATAAATACTTTTATTCCCAGTAAGAAATGGCCACTAGTATGCTGCAGTCTTACTCATTTGAAGACATAATGATCTGGGCATGTAAGGATGCGAGAGTGCAAACACGATATGAGATCATTTCTGCTGCACTAAAGCAGACAGAACGACATTTGCTGTAGCGAACAGCTGAGATTTCCCTGCAGCTGCAGCTCTTTCTAAACATTTGACCAAAACTAACTCACCAGAGCAGCAGCAGCACTCATGGACACAAAACAATAACCTCTTACCCCGGTTTCACACAGCAAGCATCAGCAGAACGGAACAGCAGCGGAGCGGCTCACTCGTGAACTTCAAAGCAGCCCTTTTCACACCGGGAGAGTCTTGGCCGCAGCGCGGCTTCCTCGCTGCGCCTCGCTGTACCCGCGAGATTCTAAAATCCCTCAAGACTTCCGACACCTTCCTCATCGAGAGATCACAACCCCCGCGAGGAATCACACCGTTGCACTTCTTGAAAGAAACTGGTGGTAAACAAAGCTGTTCAGTCACACGTACTGACATAAGTTATATATAACATCGCAACGTTGCATTTTATTTAGAAAATAACTGGGGATTTTACACTGAAACTGTGTGGTTTCCTGTCTCGCACTATGTGAACTGCGGAAATTGACGTGTCGCAGAAGCGGGACCGAGGAGAGGAGAATAGAATAGACTGTTTCCAGTCTACTCTACCCTTGGACCTTCTCATTGACTTGGAGCAAGAAAGCAGCTTTTAACAGCTGCCAAGTGACTTCAGTAATTGGTAACAGCTGGTTACCAGGAGACAGGCGAGGCAAAGGCTTCTGGGGCCATCTTGTGGCCGAAAAAGGGCACGGCACGTAACACCCCCCCACTTAAGAGAATAAATGGGGGGGTCTCAAAAAGGGCCAACATTTATTCAAATGAACGAGGTCTCCCGCTATCTAAACACACAAAAACTAACTAAACTAACTACCCCTGGATCTCCAAAGGCGGGCAGATTAAACACTTATAATTGCGCGGCGCTGATCCCCAGCGCTGCGGAGTGTTCCCGAGATGTCAGCTTGAGCTAACAACACTAGCCTTGCAGGAGGATCCAACATCTGAAAACAAAACCAAATCCTACAAGGGAGCCTCATGATTAAACTGTAACGAAGCGGTTGAGACGAGGATGACAGAGCCCTTCTTGTGGCGAATCTCCAGGTAGATTTCCTGGAGCAAGAGGGCCCAACACATCAGCCGCTGGCCAGTCTAGAGGGTCGAGCCTGAAAGAAATGGGCGTCAATAAATTGTTTTTACCCAGACAGGAAAAATTTCAGAGCCTATCTGAGTTAGAACTGCACGGTTGAACTTCCCAGAGAAACAGAACAGTGGAAGACCAGGTCCGGTGTCAACCTCCAGGATGAGGCTGTCCTCTTCTTGGCTGACGTAGACTTCCAGCTGGAGAGGCAGGGAGAGACCTGGAGCAACTAGAATGGGAGCACAACCAATGAGGATTAGCAGAGACACGAAAGCTGCCTGACATCTCGGGGCCCCTGACAAATGAATGCGAGGACTCAACACGGTTTTCAGATGTTGAGCCACAACAGAGAAGGTTCCCTCGAGCAAAACGGGACGTCAGACGTAGATTTGTTTTCTGAACATCAGCCAAAGATTTACGAGAAACAGATAAAACCACTTGAGGACTTCTAGAGGCCAGATCAGGCATTTTTACAGCCGGACCTGGTCGGGTGACGTCATCAGCTAGCAACGGGGACGCTGAATCACCAAGGGACTTTTCTGAGTTCTTCTTACGCTGAGCACGGGTTATGACACAAACAGGCGGTAAATCTGAGTCGGCACAGGTTTCTGGACGAGAGATGAGCTCAGGAGGAGGCAAAACTAATCCACCAGCAGCGTCGTTTCCCAAAATCATGTCTACTCCCTGGATCGTTAACTTCTCTAACCTTTAGGTCACCAGTAATCAAAGGGCAGGAGAGGTGAATATAATGAACCTCCGCTGGAACAGAGCCCGTGTCAACACCCCGCAACAACACAGAAGAACCAGCTCGACTGGTTACGGAAAATGGTAGCACATTCCGTTTCATCAGGGTTTGAGCAGCTCCGGTATCTCTTAAAATCACTACATCCTGGCCAATATGGCTTCCTAACAGAGACACCACTCCAGCAGACAAAAATGGCTTAAAACTCGAGTGAGGGGTTTCACAGTTATCCAACTCGTCCGAGACAGCAGCACAAGCAGCCACGGGCCTCGGTGAAGGGGGGTTTACGCTCTTCCAGTTTTTCCGCTTGAGACGAAAACAATACCTAATGAAATGACCTTTTTCGTGGCAATAAAAACATTCCGGACGGTCAGTAGAGTCAGAGGAGGTGTCAGAGGATCTCCTACTTCGACCAGGGTCAGCTCTTGACCCCCAAGACCGATGCGTTAGCTTATACTCATCTGCTAACTGTGCAGCAGCCGAAAGAGTTGAGACCTTCTGTTCGTTTAAATAGAAAATGAGCCTCTCAGGCATGTTGATTTTTAAACTCCTCCACCATAATTAGCTCCTGGAGGTTAGCTAAGGAGTCTACCCCTGAAGCAGAACCCCATTTCCCAAAGAGGACTGATTTCTCATGAGTATATTCAACATATGTCTGATTTGGCCGAGGTTTTTCAAAACGAAAGCGCTGACGATAAGCCTCAGGAACGAGCTCATACGCATTTAACACGGCAGCTTTTACACATTCATAATTAGAACTGTCCGTTAGAGACGGAGCCGAAGTTACCTGAAGGGCCTTACCTGTGAGCCTACACTGCAAGAGCAACGACCACACTTCACGAGGCCACCCGAGAGTTACCGCAATCCTCTCGAAAGCAGACAAAAACCCTTCCACTTCAGTCTCCCGGAAAGGCGGAAGAAGAGAAACACATTTGGAGACATCGAAGGCGGGCGGCAACGTTGAGGCGGCCGGAGGAGACGTGGCGTCTTGGGACAGTTCATGCTGAGTTGGAGACGAGGCCGCTGGGTGATCGGCGGCGAGGGGGTAGCTCACGGAGGGAGCAGCCTGCATGGTGACTAATTGTAGTTTGAGCTCCCGGAGGCGAACCTCTGTGTCCATTCTTTTTAAATCCAGCTCATGGCGTCGCTCATGAGCTCTCTCCTCCGCCTGCATCTTTAGGCGAGCTAAGCTTAGCTTCAGCCGGGCTTTAGTGAGCGGAGTACGGGGAGAACATGCCCCTGACGAGTCGGATTCCTGGGACGAATCTTCAGCGGAAGAAGGCAGAGCCGAGGCGAGGGTCTCCCTCTTCTGAACGAGCCGGCCCGTTTTTGCATCCGAGGGCGGTGAAGACACACCAGGAGTGGAAGGCGAAGGCAGAAGTCCTTGAGTCTCCAAATAGTCCACCAACAATCTTTGAAGAGCCGCCTTGGTGAGCTTCTTCGGAAGGGGGAGACTGAAATGGGAGGCAACCTGCCGCAGATCGGCTTTGCAGCAACTCTCCAGAAGCCGGCGTGAAGGAGCCACCACAAATGCGTGCAGGTCAAAGGTTGCCATGCTCCGCCTCTAAGGGACACAAACACAGAGTTAATGTTTTTACACACACCTAATATGTCGGGAAAGATGGTAATATATAGATATATCCCGGACGAGCCCCCACGTTATTACGTCCCCGGCTCTCTAGGAGAGATGAGGAGGGGAGTAATAAAATTAGCGTGTGGGGTAAACAATAACAGAGTGCAGTGTCGCTTAAAAAACAAGGATTTATTACAAAAAAAGAGGGAATATTTACAAAGGACCTAAAATGCAATATTATATACAAAACAAAAGGAGCAATATTAAAAAGGAGAAACGAAAAGCGCCAACCCAGAAGGGGATGGGGAGAAAAAAACCGAGAATATTTATATTCCAAAAGGGGAGATCCAAAGCCTAAGTCCAAATGCCGGTCCACAGTCAAATTGCAAAAAGTCTTATCCTAAATCCAAATCCAAAACAAGTTATTTACCAAACCAGAGAGTAAAACCGAATCTTATCAAAAAGGAGCGAACCAAAGAGAAGAGAATAGAATAGACTGTTTCCAGTCTACTCTACCCTTGGACCTTCTCATTGACTTGGAGCAAGAAAGCAACTTTTAACAGCTGCCAAGTGATTTCAGTAATTGGCAACAGCTGGTTACCAGGAGACAGGCGAGGCAAAGGCCTCTGGGGCCATCTTGTGGCCGAAAAGGGGCACGGCACGTAACATAAACAAAGCTGTTCAGTCACACGTACTGACATAAGTTATATATAACATTGCAACGTTGCATTTTATTTAGAAAATAACCGAGGATTTTACACTGAAACTGTGTGGTTTCCTGTCTCGCACTATGTGAACTGCGGAAATTGACGTGTCCCAGAAGCGGCTCGCAGAAAAAATAGAACTAGATCCTATCTTTAGCAGCGCAGCATGCCGCTTTCTGGGACGTGCCTGAAAATTGCGGCGTCGCAGCTGGTTTGAAACTCCATAGA